TAGGGTTTAGGGTTTAGGACTGTTGTCGTATCTCATTGGGCACGCTTCGCAGACCGCTTTCTCACGCTGGGAAGAGGAGATTGATACTGACTCCTCGCTACTGTATGGTTGGGTGTATGTTGATGATAATGTAGGGGCTTAAATAATTACCAATATTCTGTTGGGGCTTCCTTATATTTTTACAGTATAATGGGTACCCAAACCTTATTCTGACTATTAAGGCCGCTACACCCTAAAATTTCATAGTAACCCTTCTAGAACCCTTTTTAAAGGAACCCTTTTTAAAGGAACCCTTTTAAAGGAACCCTTTTAAAGGAACCCTTTAAAGCCCTTATTTTGATGATTAAATCCTAGATGATTCTCCTCAACTTTGCAAGTGGGGCCATGGCGGTTCCTGGGCTTGCACAAGCTAGCGACAACTGTGCAGTCGCTGGGGTTTAGGGTTTAGGGTTTAGGGTTTAGGGTTTAGGGTGCTTGACTTCAGGCAAGACACAAGTCATCCTAAACCCTAAACCGTAAATCCTAAACCCTAAACCCTGAACCCTAGATTTCTAAACACTAAACCCTAAGCTTCCTAAACCCTAACCCTGAACCCTAGACTTCTAAAGCACTAAACCCTAAACTTCCTAAACCCTAACCCTGAACACTAGACTTCTAAACCCTAAACTTCCTAAACCTAACCCTGAACCCTAGACTTCTAAAGCCCTAAACCCTAAACTTCCTAAGCCCTAACCCTGAACCCTGGACTTTTAAAACACGAAACCCCAAACCGGAACTCGGAGCGTGCACGAAGGCCGCTGCCGCGGAGGAAGAGATTGAGCCTCCAGGCCCAAAGGGTCAGTTTAGGGTTTAGGGTTTAGACGTCTAGGGTTTAGGGTTTAGGGTTTAGACGTCTAGGGTTTAGGGTTTAGGGTCTAGGGTTTATGGCTTAGGTTTTAGGGTTTAGACGTCTAGGGTTTAGGGTTTAGGGTTTAGACGTGTAGGGTTTAGGGTTTAGGGTTTAGGGCTTGGGTTTTAGGGTTTGGGGTTTAAGGCGGATGCTTCAAGGGATCTATCTAAGGGTTCCCTTAAGGGATCTATAGGGGCTCAGCGAGGGAGGCGAGTTGTCGGCTTGGTCTGTTTTAGGTGTAGGGTTTGGGGTTCAAGGTTTTTAGGGTTTAGGGTTTGGGATTCACGGTTTGGGGTGTTGTGGTTGAGGGGTCCTGGAGATTTGTGCAAATGCTCATAAGGTAGGGCCTACTGGATTGCAATGTTTTGGTTCAGAGTCTGGGAGCATACGTTTGACCCTAAAGCTTTAGCATCCCTGAACCTCGGACTAGTGTTCAACACTTACTCAAGCGCGTCGTTTTAAGGCAGGCTGAGGGCTAAGGCGGCTAAGGGCCCAGTGGCCATTGGGAAATCACCTCTCTCTGCTAAGCGAAGTCGAACGCCAGAAGCGAAGCTTCTCGGCGCAAGAATACTTAGCAGTGCGCAGTAAAGTTGTTCCCTGGGTTCCCTCATGCACTTATAGCATGGTACGCTCCCCCAACCCCAACTCTCACGAACAAGGCTGCTGTGGTATTTTGGGGGCCACAAGTTTGCCCTGAACATACCTGAACCCAAAACGCTCCATTTTCCGCACGGTTCGGTGCAGGCAGTGCCACGGTGCCGGCCAGCAATACGACCGGCCGCTTCATCTGCACGATTCTGCACGGCTCAATAATTGGAAGGAGTTTTGGCGAGAATCGTGCAGTTGTAGTAAGGAGCCCGAAAGAATAGTCTTCGAATCATTGCGGCACCTTTAATAGGATGCTTGTGGCTTTGGGTTTGCAACTCATTCCTGAACTCCTAATTGGTGTTACACTCTCTTCCTTCACAACACGGGACAAGCAAGCCCTTAACTTCAACTAAGCACACCTTAAACCCTAAACCCTAAAGTCCTAAAACCTTAAACCCTAAACCTTAAATCCCTAAACCCTAAGCCCCTAAACCCTAAACCCCAAACCCTAAACCCTAAACCCTAAACCCCAAACCCTAAACCCTAAACCCTAAACCCCTAAACACTTCGACGTCAGGGTCGAGGGGTTTCGGGTTTTTTCGGAGCTTCGGGCCTCTCAGGGTTCAGGGGCTCGCAGCTTTGCCGAGTTTAGGATTTAGGGGTGTAGGGGTTTAGGGTTTAGGGGCCCTAACACCCTAAACCCTAAACCCTAAGAGCCTTATCCCTAAACCCTAACACCCTAAACCCTAAACCCTAACTTAGGCCCTAAACCCTAAACCCTAAACCCCCTAACACCCTAAACCCTAAGCCCTAAACGCCCTCTACCAAAAGTCGCAGCCTCAGCCAAGGCCAGGCTCCCATGCAGCGCAGCGACGAGAGGCCGAGGTGTTCGAGATCTTCTTGTCAGGGTGTGGGGTTTGGGCTTTAGGGGATTAGGGGTTTAGGGTTCGAGGTTTAGGGTTTGAGGTTTAGGGTTTAGGGGTGCAGGGTTTTGGGTTTAATTGGGGTTTAGGGTCTGGGGATTTGGGGTTTAGGGTGTAGGGTTTCAGGCTTTTGTAGGGGTTTGGGGTTTAGGGGTGTAGGGGTTTAGGGTTTAGAGGTTTGGGGTTCAATTGGGGCGTAGAGTTTGGGCTGTATTAGGCGATCTACGGCTTTGCAAAGCTATGTCTCTTGATGAATGGCTTGGGAAAGTCTTGCTGATTAGGCTTTGCATTGGAACAGAACGGGGGGTTTTGTTGGGTTGATGTAGGGAGTTAGGGTTTTTTTCATGTCTTTACTTTACAGTGTTGCTTGTTGGGGCTTCGGGTTTAGGTTTGTGTAAGGTTGTATTATGTTGTATTGATGGTTCAAGGCGTTTTTCTTGACAGGTTTTGTCATGCTGTCACAGTTTGAGCATCCGTTTTATCCAGAGTATGAAGCTTGTTTAAGCCTGCACGCTTGTTGTTTTTGCTATCTGGGGTTTAGAGGGTGCTATACACGGCCTTGGGATTGTATAGGTTTTGGAAAGGGTTATATAGACTAATAGTAGAGGACTTTGGTAGGATTGTATACTGGGTCTCGGAAAGCATTGTATATGGTCTTTTACTGCCCATCTCGATGAAGCGGGGTTGCTTAAATAGGGCTTTACAGGTGTGAGAACGGTGACCGGAGCTTTCGGAAGCAACAGCCAAGCTGCGACATTTCATATCCAGGCATGAACAACTGCGAACAGTCTTTTGGGGGTTCTTGTATTTGATGCAATTTACTACTAACTTACTAGCTAGAGCATACCCCAAAACCACATCAAGCTTCTACAATACGGGGTTTGGGAGCTCGCTGGATTTTCTGCTCGCCCTAGGCCCTAGACCCTGACCCTAAACCGTAATGCCGGTCCCCCTGAGCGTTTGGGTGGTGGGTCTGAGGTGCAGGGCTTGGGTCTAGGGTTTGTGTTTACTTGGAGGGTCTGGGGACGTAGTAAGTGGGTCATAAGTAGACTTAGATAAGAGCACCCTAAAAGGGATCCTAATTGGGGTTATGATACTTATAACTCTGTAAAATAACTAGTTACTAAGTCCCCCGACCCTCCAAGTATTTGGCTTTCGGACGAAGAAATCTTAGCCCTCCCAGCACCCCAGGGCTGGAACATGCACCCTAAACCCCCAAACCCTAAACCCTAAACCCTAAACCCTAACCCCTAAACCCTAAACCCATTCTCAGCTCGCCTGCAGCTTCGGGCTCAAGCAACTTGGAGCTAACTGCGGGCCCTCTAAAGGCGATTTCCGCCCGGAAATTGGTAAAAGTATGGTTTAGGGTTTAGGATTTAGGGTTTTAGGGTTTAGGGTTTAGGGTTTAGGGTTTGGGGTTTAGGGTTTAGGGTTTGGGGTTTAGGGTTTAGGGTTTGGGAACATGTCGTGGACAAAGGGGTCCTGGTCCGGTTGGCCAGACAGCCGTGGCCAGTCCCAGGGGGGTTCCTACTGGTGGAGGGAGGATCGGCAGGAGTATGGCTCCATGTCCCAGGGGGGTTCCTACTGGTGGAGGGGTTGGTCCGATTGGCCTGCAAGCAGTGACCATTGGGCAAAAAAACAGGAGAAGGAGGAGGATGCACGGGAGGACGGCTCCTTGTTAAAAGGGGAGTCCGACTGGTGGAGGGGCTGCTCCGACTGGCCAGAAAGCAGTGGCCAACATGTAACAAGAGAGGAGAAGGAGGAGGATGTGCAGGAGGACGGCTCCATGTCTAAAGGGGGCTGCGACTGGTGGAGGGATTGGTCCGATTGGCCGGCAAGCAGTGACCAACGGGTAACAAAACAAGAGGAGGATGTGCAGGAGTCGCAGGAGGACGGCTCCTTGTCAAAAGGAGTGCAAACAATGAAACAATTTAACAATAAGGGCAGGCCAGCTGGGTCGGGGACGGTCTCCAATGCCAGGCGGCTGCGGTTCCAACTCAGAGGAGCCGAGCGTGAAGCTGCCACGAAAAGAAACAGTTAGTCCACGCAGCACAGATCCCTTGCTGAAAGGGGGTGCGAGTTCGATGCTTTCTTCAAAAGCCCCAGGGAGCCCACTAAGCGAGGAAAGTACTTGAAATGTTGCCAAGCCCCTTTACATATTATTCATCTGAGTTTGCGTATGTGTATATATACACATATGTACATACATATATATATATATATATGTATACATACACGCAACAGTTATGTATGTATATATGTATGTGTGTCTATCTACGTATGGGGCTCCCTGGAGTTTGGTACCCAGAAGCGTGGAAAACGCATCCTGGGGCCTGTGGAACGACTTTTCCGTGCTGCTCGGAAAAGAGCGTCGTTTCAAAGCGGTCACCTACAGCTGTGAGAATTCTTTTTCAGGTAGTTCAAACAAAAAGTTTAGGGACTATACATGATACATGTAGAAGCGCCCTGAACCCAAAGACACTGCAGAAGACTGACAGCTTCCGATGCCAGGGAAGCACCCGTGGCCGCTTCTCCCCCGCGAGCACCTTCTGTTCCCCCGCCGAGACGAACGGCCGAGGCATATCTTTTGTTGAAGGTTCGACTTACCAGGGTTTCGGAAAGCTTCCGTGGTTACACTCCTCGTTCACATGATTCGCGCTATGCCTGACTGTACCTGAACACCGAGCTGTTCTTGCATCACCACCTTTACTACATTTCTGCCGTTGGCCGTTGGGTTCTCATTCAGTCCTGCGCTGCACTTCTGTGCCCTACACAGAGATCGACGTTCATTCCGAAGCTACACGTCAAGGCCACGGTTATCTTCCTGATTTAGGTCATAGGTGTAAGTCTACGCTGCTAGTACAGGTGTGCATACGCATGTGGTCGCGTGTTCTGTGAATGTTATGTGTACCCGAGGGACAAGCATGACTGCTTGAATGCGTGACTGGGTGAGTGAGTGAATGAGTGAGTGAGTGAGTGACTGAATAAATGATTCAATGAATGAATAACGAACGACCGACTGACTGAATGAATAAGTGAGTGGGTCAATCCAAGGACCAGTGCAGCGCTGAATCGAGCAATAAACCGAATGGAGGCATGCATGGATGGATGCATGGATAAGTTCATGTATGATTACTGTATGAGTGTATGAAGGAGTGAATCCCTAAAGGAAAGGAACAGGTAAATAGTAGATACATGAGAGAGGTAGACAAGTTAGATGAGTACCGCCAAGCAAATATGCAAACAGATAAATTGTGACTTACATAATGTAGGCAAACGCAAAAGCAAAAACAACTAGATGCCTACATATGTATATACATATACACACATATGTATGTAAATACATACACATACGTAAATCTATATGCACATGTATGTAGGCATGTATGTATGTATGTATGTATGTATGTAAGTATGTATGTGTGTATTTATGTATTTATGTATGTATGTATGTATGTATGTATTTATGTATGCATGCATGCATGCGTGCATGGATGTATGTATGTATGTATGTATGTATGCATGTATGTATGCACGCATGCATGCGTGTATGTATGTATGTATGTATGTATGTATGTATGTATGTATGTGTGTAATGTATGTATGTATGTATGTATGTATGTATACAGGTATGTATGTACTTGTGCATGCATGTATGCATGTACGTGTGTATGTATGTACGTATTTATGTAGGTAGGTAGGTAGGTAGGTAGGTAGGTAGGTAGGTAGGTAGGTAGGTAGGTAGGTGGACTAACGGCTCTAACCTAGTCATAGCCTTCCTATCCCCGACCAGAGACCCTACACCTTCAGGTCCAAACCCTGAACCGCAGACCTAGTGCCGAAAGTGCCAGAAACCGACTACCACGGATCTCGTTTGAATATCATCAAGAACCCCGTGGCAGAGACCCCCAAAGCAGTTTCGACTAAGGCCGGATCGTGGAGATATCGGATCGATCCAGAGTGTCGGTGGCCTTAGTTTGAGTTTTAGTGCGGGGTTTAGAGGTCTAGGGGTTTCAACGGCGCACGGAGAAGGGTTTAGAGTGTAGGGTTTTAGGGTTTAGTCTTTAGGGCTTAGTAATAGGGTTTACAGTTGGGGCGTTTAGGCTTTCGGGGCGCTGGGGTGGCTGGGGGGGCGTTCGGGGCCTATCCTAGCCCTGGAAAGCTACCGTTCGCGTAGAGAGTTGATACTGGTGCCATGGCTGGGTCCATGGGTTTAGGGTTTCGGGCTTAGGGCTTTGGGCTTTGGGTT